ACTATAATACAGATGCGTAATTATTTTTATTTTTTGGCATAAATTACTATCTGTACAATATATTGGATTCAATAAGAGAGCAAGAGGTTGCTTAGAAGACCTGCAGACCGATGCCAAAGTGAGCTGAAGAATTTTACTTTATCAAGATGCATGAAAATGACAAAAAACAGAGTCTGTGGCGAAGTCTTGCAGAAACTTTCATCCAGCAGTAGATCAACATGGCTGATGATGATGACACAAGTTTATTTTATTTGCACAGATACAATTGATATGTATTTTCGACATTTATGTAGCCAGTCTCCGGTTATGCCTAGGACTAAATCTAAATTCGAACATGTCGTGAAATTTTGAACAGAGAATTGCATGATGTAAATGTCAAAATGTGTACGTGCTTGCTAATTGTAGCTGTTAAACTGAGGTAGAATTGTATGTGTAGCGGTTTCTTCCGCGAGATGAGGCATCGCTCCGTGGTGCGGGGAGAAACCGCAGGAAAAGAGGTAGTTGTATCTCAGTTACCATGGGAAACTACGAGCGGTTGGACACGAAGTCTCACAGAGCCGTCGCTTGGAAACTCATTCGGCAGGGATGAAGGGCAAACAGTGGTTTTGTGCAAGACTCCTAGGAACCTTTAACAGTAGCCAAAACCATTTGCCAAGATCGAACGAAGTCAGAAGCGCAAACAAAGATGACCCCAGTCTCCTTCGCGCAACCTGCGTTATACTGCGACGGAGTAAATCATTCGACTGATGGATAACCGATTGTCTTCAACGATTACGGATTCTTACCCAAGGGGCTGCAAACGCTAAATTGGAAGACCTGGACTCAGATGAGTTTATGAGCTGGAACAGAGATTCAAACTTTTTGGGCTTCAAGTCGCACGTGGTAGGAGAATGTGAGCATCGAGACACAGACAGGCAAGGTGAACCACGTTAATTACGAAGAACGGTCAACAATTATTGTTGTTGTTGAATAGGGATTTGTTTTAAAATTTAGAAACGTGTGCATAAGCGTGCATTCGTTGATGTACTCTTTTGAATAGTGAACGTTTCTCGCGTTTCTAATGTGAGTCAGACCTTTTCTGAAAAAAATCATTTATCATCTCGCTATCCTTTTCGGATTGTGGGAGCAGCGCTTTCAGGAAGCTTTGGCAGTGATTCCGTTCTTCTGCCAAACTAAGACCAGGTCCGAGACGTTATTGTGCTATGTGTTCAACGTAGCGGCTATGGCGCTTTGAAAAGATCTCTGTATGTTCCCGTTCAAGGCGGTGTGTCTTAATCTTAATGTCTATAACACATTTTATTGGAAGTTATTGTAGAGAATTATTGTCAGAAAGGAACCGTCTTTACTATAGAAGATTTATTTTAAAATGACTGTGCGATGTTTTCCGGATCTTCATCATTGATATATCTTATTTACTAGGGTCTGTTTTAAATTTTAATAGTTTAATGTTTATTATTGATTTTTTTGTTTGAGAATATTTATTGGTTAGTTTTTAAAGTTTATACATTCTTGTTTTCGATATACTAATAGTGCTCAGTCCACGGACGGGCAATTGCTCATCATTAAATTTTCTCCTATTTCAGAGACATGAAAGCCTACTCGGGAGATTCCTTCGCGTCTGCCGACGAAGTTTCCAGGGAAAATTTGACGGACGACGACGACAAGGCGATCTTCGATATGTTCACCAACCCAGAAGCTGTCGAGAAGTTGTGCGAACTGATGTGCATCGATGAAGAGGACTTGAAGAACCAGTTTCATTGCAACCGCTATCAGCTATTCAAGGTATTTTTTACATGTATAAACCGTGTAAGAATTTTGAATTAAAATTTCCGTAAAAAAGTTTTTGATTCTGAGCCTGTAATTTATCAGAAAAAATTATTTTCATGCATAGGGTTTGTTAATAACACTGATGTACTATTATCGTGCTAAAACGTTGAGTTGAGTTTTTAAATTATTCAGTTCTGATAACGTTACCGATATTGGTAGCAAAACCCGTAGACTACTAATAAAGCTTTTTCATCTCTGATTTATGTTTCGGTTTCTTAACTGTGCATCAAGAAAAATTTCGAATTAAAGTTTCAAATCTTTTGATTTGGACCGATGTTATTATTAACATAGTTAAAAGTGTAGTAGAAATTTCAATAAAACCGATTTAGTACAACTGTTATTTTTGGCAACTTCTCATGCAGTACGCGACTAACATTTGCCCTCTCTTGTTACTGTCTTACTATTACTGCTAATGAAGAAATGTAGTGCTATCCGTGCAGTATTGCACTGCATTTCTGATACTTTTCCCACTAACACCGATAATTTCGAACCAAAAGCACCAAGTGAGTATTAAATATACAGACGTAATTATTTGCGAAATTTTATTCTCTAAAAAAATTTTTAGATGATCTAGTTTATCTATAGTGAACTTGGATCTAATTACGTATTTTGTTCTTAGGGCCTTTTTCGTAACTTCGGCATTGTCTTTTTGCCAGCTTTCAAACCAGTAATAGAGAAATTCGTACGGTCGTCAGAAATCGTCCATCATAGGCTGGCGTCTGAATTTGTGGCTGGTGTCATCGACGGGTCAAAGCTTTGGCCGTACCGTGTCCTCGAGCAGCTCTGGCAGTGGCTGTCGCCTTTGCTGAGCTTGGTGTTAACCAAGTTGTCAGCCATCAACTACTTCAACTGGCGCACGTGCTTTTTGACGGTGTTCGAGTGGCGCGACCCCTATTCGGTGCACTGGCTAATCGAGTTGCTGATCGACTCTGCCAGTCGAGAGGTGGATACTTCAGCCGGCAGCGCGAAGTCTGTGTTTATGTTTTCTCACGTGCCAGCTATGCTCAACGTTGTTTTTTCTAGCCGTCTCTACGCCCTGCAGACTATGACCATGATGCAGTGGAGAATGGTCGACGCTTTCCGGCGCGTGTTGACCGACATTGAACTGAAGCTGGCGCAACCGTTCCAAAATCTGCGAGAACGCATGGGCATGTGAGAAATTTTTCACGATTTTTTATCATGTGATATTCCTAATAATGAGCT